CATAGAGTTGTACAAAGTAGTCTTAATAATTTTTTCCATATTTTCTCTGCTTTTATAGTCATTATTCCATTATCATTTATTTCATATATTTATACCTCCAAACCTTTCTCCCCTCCACTCTTCTGGTTTAAGTTAGCTAGAGTTTGTCTATTTTCCTGACTTTTTAAATGCTTAGCTTTGAGGGCTTCCTCTTGATGCAAGGATTGCTTGGTAGCATGTTTTTACAGTTTTAGGTGGAAGAGACTTTTAAAAATGTCATTATTTTCTAGTTATATTGAATTGAGTGTGATCACAGAAGGCCATTTATATCATTTACATTTTTAGAATGCATTGAAATTTTCTTTGCAGACTCTGATATGTCAATTTTGTGAAATTTCCATGTGATTTAGAAGAAGGTTTAATTTGTATTATCAGGATTCAGTCCCCTCTTTTTTTTTTTTTAAGATTTTATTTATTTATTCATGAGAGACAGAGAGAGAGAGAGAGGCAGAGGGAAAAGCAGGCTTCCCGTGGAGCAGGGAGCTCGATGCGGGACTCGATCCCAGGACCCTGGGATCATGACCTGAGCTGAAGGCAGACGCTTAACCATCTGAGCCACCCAGGTGCCCAGGATTCAACCCGCTCTTATTTTGATATTGTGTTTCTACTATGAATAGTATTGTAATTAGCTGGTCACCTCCTCTTTCTTTTCCCTCCTTTATCCCTTATATCTAAAGTATTATCTTTTGGCTGGCTCAGTCAGTAGAGCATGTGACTCTTAATCTCAGGGTTGTGGGTTCGAGCCCCAAGTTGGGTTGGAGAGTACTTAAAAATAAAAAAATAAAAAAATAAAAATCTAAAATAAATAAATAAAAAGTATTATCTTTTATTCCCAACTTTCAAAAAGCAAGATTTTCTCTTCATTTATCATCTCTGCTTTATCTCCACTTTTGATATTTATATTATATCCATATTATCATATCTATAAAAAATACATACTATTCTGTTACCCTTATTCTCACCTTTCTATCCTGACTTCTACTGTAAAATGCTCACTACCAAAACTGAAATTGAATTTGTCCAATCATTTTCTGAACCTTGTTCTCTAGCAGATACGTCAAGAAGGCTGGGAGCAATATTTCCTAGGTCCTTAACATGTTTATAACTGTCTACATCTTTAAAACTTTTATACTTGAAAAGCAGTTAATGTCTTCTGTCCATTTCTTGACTGGATTATTTGTTTTTGGGGTTTAATAAATTCTTTATAGATTTCCGATCCTAGCCCTTTATTTGATAAGACATTTGCAAATATCTCCTCCGATTCTGTAGGTTGTCTTTTGATTTTGTTGACTGTTTCCTTTGCTGTGCAAAAGCTTTTTATCTTGGTTAAGTCCCAATTCATTTTTGCTTTTGTTTCCCTTGCCTTTGGAGACGTGTTTAGCAAGAAGTTGCTGTGGCTGAGGTCACAGAGGTTTCTGCCTGTGTTCTCCTTGAGGATTTTGATGGATTCCTGTCTCACATTTAGGTCTTTCATCCATTTTGAGTTTATGTTTGTGTATGGTTTAAGAAAATGGTCCAGTTTCATTCTTCTGCATGTGGCTGTCCATTTTTCCCAACACCATTTGTTGAAGAGATGTCAACAAAACTAAAAACTAGGTTATCAAAAACAAACTAAAAATCAATAATAGAAAGATATCTGGAAAATCTCCAAATATTTGGAAATTAAACCATTCAGTTCTAAATAACCCATGAGTCAAATAAAAAATACAAAAGAAATTATAAAATATTTTGAGCTGAATTAAAATAAACACAGAAAATATCAAAATGTATGCAATGTAGCTGGTGCAGTACAAGGAGGGAAATTTATAGCATTAAGTGCCTATATGTGAAAAGATATAAGGTCTCATTTATCTAGGCTTCCACATTAACTAGAAAAAAAGGAGCAAATTAAACTCAAAGCAAACAGAAGAAAAAAAAAATAAAGAGTAGAAATCAATAAAATAAAAAATAAACACAATATAAAAAGTCAATAAAACCAAGCTGATTATTTGCAAAAATCAATAATATTGATAAGCCTCTATCCAAACTAATCAGAAAATAACTGGAGAAGACACAGATTATTAATATCAGAAATGAAAGAGGAGCATTACCACAGATTCTATAGACCTCAGATGGATAAGGGAAATATTCTAAGCAATTATGCCAATACACTTTCTAATTTAGATGAAATGGACAGATTCCATGAAAAACACAAACTACTACCATGTCAGTTCTTGTTTTTGACAAATGTACCATGGTGTACAATAGTAACAAAGGATGGAAACTGGATAAAAGACATAGAAGAACTCTCTGTGTTATCTTTGAGAATTTTTCATAAAATTAAAATTATTGCAAAATAAAGAATTTATTTTAAAAGTAATTCAAGAAAATTATTCTAAAATGTGTGGAAATTTGAATATACATATCAAAAGACTGTATCATTTACCTAGAAAAATCAGCCCAGACTAGTCACTACCAAAACATACTCTGGTAAAACTCTTGGACTCTAAATATAAGAAAAAGACCACCCCGAGTATTTTGGCAAAAAGACCCACTAAGTCATGAGGAAAGAAAATGAGATTGGCATTTGACATTCTGATAGAAAGATTTTTGTGAAAATGCAATTAAATAGCATATTTAAGATACTCAAAGAAAGAAAATTTAAGCTAAGGACTTAGCTTAACTGCTTTTCTTTCTTTTTTTTTTTAAACTCATTTTATTTAAATTAAGTTAGTTAACATACAGTGTATCATTAGTTTCAGATGTAGAGTTCAGGGATTCCTCAGGTGCTTTTAACACCCAATGCTCATTTCATCAGGTGCCCTCCTCAATGCCCATCACTCAGTTGCCCCATCCCCCTACCCACCTCCCCTCCAGCAGCCCTCAGTTTGTTTCCTATAGTTAGGAGTCTCTTATGGTTTGTTTCCTCTTTGATTTCGTCTTATTTTTCCTTCCCTTCCCCTGTGATCCTCTGTTTTGTTTCTCAAATTCCACATATGAGTGAAACTATATGATAATTGTCTTTCTCTGATTGACTTATTTCGCCCAGCATAATACCCTCCAGTTCCAACCATGTTAATGTTACTGGTAAGATTTCATCCTTTTTGATGGCTGAGTAATATTCCATTGTGTATATGTAAATATATCCATATATATATATATATATCCATATCTTTATCCATTTATCTGTTGTTAGACATCTGGGCTCTTTCCATAGTTTGGCTATTGTGGACATTGCTGCTATAGACATTGGGGTGCAGGTGCCCCTTTGGATCACAACATTTGTGTCCTTTGGGTAAATACCTGGTAGTGCAATTGCTGGATCATAGGGTAGCTCTATTTTAAACTTTTTGAGGAACTTCCATACTGTTTTTTTTTTAAAGATTTTATTTATTTATTTGACAGAGAGAGACAGCGAGAGAGGGAACACAAGCAGGGGGAGTGGGAGAGGGAGAAGCAGGCTTCCCGCCGAGCAGGGAGCCCCTTTTCTGTGCCATTCTTCTCGTATGTATTTTACTTCTACATTTGTTATAAACCCTATAATATCTTTAAAAAATCTAAACAATCTATTATTTTTAAAAGATTAAAAGTGAAGAAAACTATGTTTTACATTTATTTTCACATTTTATAAAACTGCTTTTCTGGTTAACAACATCATTTCTAGGAGGGAGACTAAATTCTGCCAGTGCATCTTCTACTCTACCTTGGCTAGATATGAGTGTCTTCATTTCTAAGTTATTATTGCAAATAGTTCCACTAGTTTTGCACCTATGTGGTGCTTCTGATCTAGGCAACAATACAGAACAGAGATTTGAGGACATTTCTTTTTCTTTAAATTTTTTTATTTTTATGTTAATCACCATACATTACATCATTAGTTTTTGATGTAGTGTTCCATGATTCATTGTTTCTGTATAACACTCATTGTTTCTGTCTTCTTGTGCCCTCCTTAATACCCATCACCAGGCTAAGCCATCCCCCCACCCCCCCCAAGACATTTCTAAAGGCTCAATCCTGTTGTACAGGGGTGATCCATCAATCAATGAAATAATTCACGATTATTCATTTGTTCAGCTTTTCTCTGTTCATTCATTAGTTAAACACGGATTAATCATTAACGATGTGCCTGACTCCAAGAGAGGCACGGGCAATATAAAGAAAAAAAGCTGCTGTCCCTTCCCTGAAGGATCTCTAGACAGAGCAGGTTTTAAATAGAAAGAGAGTGAAATCAGCCTTTAAATTGCATTAATCAGTGTCTTCCTCCTCAGTGCCTACTGTCATTTCTCCCATAATTCTTTGTGCCCTACTTTTTATAACTTGGTTGTAATACAATGGTAAGTCGTCATTATGATAACAATAAGGAAGGTTGCTAAATGGATACAGTTTCAGCTTTGCAAGGTGAAAAAATTCTAGAGCTCTGGTACATAACAATGTAAATAGAGTTAACACTTCTGAACTGTACACTTAAAAATGGTTAAGATGGTAGATTTTAGGTTCTTTTTTATTTTAAAGATTTTATTTATTTATTTGAGAGAGAGAATGAGATAGAGAGAGAGCATGAGAGGGAAGAGGGTCAGAGGGAGAAGCAGACTCCCCGCCGAGCAGGGAGCCCGATGCGGGACTCGATCCCGAGACTCCAGGATCACGACCTGAGCCGAAGGCAGTCGCCCAACCAACTGAGCCACCCAGGCGCCCGGTAGATTTTAGGTTCTTTGGTTTTTTTTACCGCAACCTGAAAATAAAAAGTAAGGAGGAAGGCAGCCCCAGTGTGAGCTGTTGTCCGGACTGTTTGGCTAAAATTGAGTTTTGCCAGCTCTTTGATCCCGCCACGGGACCTCAGGAGTCCCAACCTTCCTTTTCCCACCACAGGAATGGCCTCGGGGATCCGCCAGGTGTCGCCGTGGCCGCGGCTGCCCGCGCCCCGCCCACCGCCAAGTTTCGTCCAATCGCGGCCGTGGCCACGCCCCCTGAACGAACCTCTTTCCGGCATCCGGGCCTGGGTGGGCTGGCTCTCAAGCCTAACGAGGAGCATGGAGGTCCGCGGCGAGCCTCAGTCCGGCGCGAGCTCTTCGTCTTCCCCCCGGGACTCCTCGCGGGTCTCAGTGTCCAAAGAGCTGCTGACAGCCGGGAGTGGCGGCCGCGGAGGTGACGGGCGGGTGGTGGCGGCGTGGGGTGTGCACGTGCGGCAGGGGGCGTGTGGCCGGGACAGCGGCGGGGGCCGGCCGGCGGCGCCCTGTCCAGGCCCCGCACCCGCGAGGGGACGCCCAGGCGTGGCCGCGGGGCTTCTGCGAGACCGCCGCGGCGGGGGTGGGGTTCGGGGGCCTCGGGGCGGGCACCCGGCCTCGGGCCCCGGGATGGTTGTATTCCGCGCGATAGTGGGCGCCCATTCCGCGGAGTGCAGCAGCAGAACACCTCCCCTGAGGGCAGGGCCTGGGAGGGCTTTAGGTGGGCTCTCTGCGTCCCGGCAGCGGGCTGGTGGGGGGAGCAGGTCACTATTATGGATTAATCCCCCACCCCTCCATGCTCACAAAACCACCCGTTAGTGCCTTGCCTCTCTCTTGTAGAGGGACACTTGGATCTAGGAAATCCACATAGGATTTCAGACACCATAGTAGGGAGTTAAAAAGCATGGATTTGAATCCCAACTCCACGATTGATTAGTTGTGGAACTACAGGAGACTTGTTTACATTCTCACAGCTCCAGTTTTCACATTTGGAAAATGGAGGTAGTAGTACCTGTTGATTTTTTTTTTTTTTTTTTGAGAATTTTTTTTTTTTTTTTTTGAGAAGAAGGAGAATGCGCCTAAGTTCTTGGGCATATCCTCAGTGAATCTTAGCTTGAAGACGTTCTATGAGAAGCCAGAGCATCCCGAAGAGTTATAATAATAGCCAAAGCTTATGTAGTGCTTACTGTGACCCAGGATTTAATTAACTCATTTAATCCTCACAAAAACCCTGTACATAAGGTTCTATTTTATAGGTGAGGAAACTGAGTCAAAGTATATCATAGATAAGTAACTTGCTGGAGATCATCTGGCAGAAAAGTGACAAAATTGGGATTCGAACACAATCAGTCTGATTGGATTCTTTATGCTAATCCATTTGCTAGACCTAAAGTAGTAATCAAAGAATATTTGTTGAGATCTGCTTTGGGGGGTGAATAGGGATTTTGTATTTGAGTGAAGAGGTTTTCCAGGCATTGGAAACAGGGTGATCAAAGCCTTGAGTTTTGAAAGACAAGTCCCGTCCTCTGAGCTCTGATGGGCTGAAGAGTTTGTTGATTTGAGGAGTACTGATGGGGCTGAAAAGGTGCATGGGGTTGGGGGGTTGCGGGGGTACAGACAAAAATTCTCCAAAGGGCTCATTTGTCCAGGTTGGACATCTTTAATGAAGGTCCACTAACAAGGCAGGTGTGCTTTAAAGATAAACAAACAAGTGCTCCAAGAGGTTAAGTAATTTGCCCAATATAATGCAGCTAGTAACCATTCTGGCTTCACTTAACCATCATTGTACTCTTTGCTGCTTCCTCTGTCCCTTCATTGCAGAAACTCATTTGTCACTGATGGATTTCTGATCCACAAAGGGTGCAGGTTAGTTTGCACTTACTCCTCAGCATCGGTGACACATACAGATGTATGAGACAGGCCTAAGGAAGGGGAGGTGGGTGGGCGTAAAGAAGTAAAATGTTGTCATGGAACTTGGGGAGCCTCCTTTTCTAAAAATGTCTTGGGGAATGTGGAATGTTCGAGACTTGAGAGCGGTCCTGGAAAGTTTGCTGACGGGCCCCCATTTCTTTATGCTATAGTAAATTAAGTGTGTGTTTGCTTTCAGGTATATGGGACAGGTTACTCATCAACCCCAAGCCTAACTGCAGAAAAAATTCCACTCTTCAAACAGTGAGGATAGAGAGGAGTCCCTGTAAGTATCTTTCCCTCTCTTTCTCCATTCCCCTTCTCTCTCAAGAACCTTCTCTGATGTTAAATTTTGCCCAGTTAAGCGGTAGAGATCCACAGTGAACCCCGGTCCAGCCAGAGCTGTTCATTGTCCACCCCCCACCCCCCGGGACTGCTCAGGGGTTTCAGTGTCTTAGAAGCTGCTGACAGTGTTTTGCATCTGTGGACTTCCATCTGAGTCTGTTTTATATCTTTCATTTCTTTCCTCATTGTGATAGCCATTGTGTGGGGCTTTGTATTCTAGGACCTCAGTGCATCCTTCCAGCAGTCCTATTTTACAATGAAAGGCCATTTCTTGATCTTTACCACCTTTTTCTTTTCTTCTATATTCTGGACAGTTCAGTCATGTATTGTGTAGCTGTATCAGTGACTTAACAAGTTTTGAGAACTCATTATGTGCACAGTTATGTGCTGGGCCTTTTTTGAGAGCTAAAGAAATTAGACATACCTTGTTTATTGATTCCCCTGTACTTAGCATAGTATAGTTATCACTTCTGTTTTTACAGATGAGTAAATTGAGGTTTCAAATGGTTCAATTAAATGTATTATTTAGGACACCTGTGGTTGCAAATGACTAAACTCCAGCTCCAATTGCCTTAAGCCAAAAAATAAATTACATTGGCCAATTTTATTGGAGGGGGGAACCCAGTGATTTCAGGTACATCTGCATCCAGGTGCTTGGTGTCCTAGGGGTCTACTGCTCTGTATCTCTCAGCTCTGCTTTCCTAGGTGTTGGCTAAATCTAGAGCAGGCTCTTCCTTACCTGTGGCAAGTTGGCCAGTTTATCAGCAGCTCAACCGGTCATTTACTCACTCAGAAGGAAGGGATCTCTTTCTCACAGTTCCAGCCAGAGTCCCAGGGTGATCTCTGATTGGCCTGACTAGATCACAGTATCACTGAATATGCCACTGAACCAAATCATGTTGAGCAAGGTTGTGGAACATACAGGCATGAAAAGGGCAAGGCACAAGAGTGACTAAGAGTGACAGAGCTTAGAAGGAAAGCCAGGGTTATGTTACCAGAAAAAAGGGGAACAGATGTTGGGCAGGTAAAAACAACCACTACTTAGTTAACTTGCCCAAGGTAATTCAGGGAGTAAGAGGTGGAACTGGGGTTCTATTAATAACCTTGTCAGCCTGACCCCAAAGCCTCAGAGCCTGAGGCATCTAACTATTAAGTCATACTTTCTCCTTCATTAGTTACTATTGGTTGAATGCCAGCCATCTAGGGATGTACAATTCTGGGGATATATGAAAACACAAATAGGGGCGCCTGGGTGGCTCAGTCGTTAAGCGTCTGCCTTCAGCTCGGGTCATGATCTCAGGGTCCTGGGATCGAGCCCCGCATCGGGCTCCCTGCTCCGCGGGAAGCCTGCTTCTCCCTCTCCCACTCCCCCTGCTGATGTTCCCTCTCTCACTGTGTCTCTCTCTGTCAAATAAATAAATAAAATCTTAAAAAAAAAAAACCCACAAATAAACATTGAGAAATATTCACTAACTTGTGTAGTCCTGCTTTAAAGATTCAGAAGGGGATGGGGGTTTTTTAAAATGGAAGAAATTTGAAAGATTTTTTTATTATAACTTTTGTTACTATTGAATTTGTATTTGAATTTGTGACTGTTGAATTCAGAAGTGTTTACAGTAAATTCTGGATTTTAGAAGTTGAAGTTTGGCCAAAGATTAACATAAATATTGATAAACTATATTTTCTCTCCTTAGTATTGGACCAAGTACAGACCTTTCTCCCACAGATGGCTCAGGCAAATGAAAAGCTAAGAAAAGAAATGGCAGCCGCACCACCTGGTCGTTTCAATATTGAAGATATTGATGGGGCTCTTGGAAAAGTTATACAAATGGTAATAATGGTTTGTTTTCATTTCATAAATTAAAATTACCTGTATGCCTCATCATCTATAAGGGAGAGGACTTTTCCGTTTTAATTCAAGTGATATTTTCCTTCTTGCGGAGTTAGCTCATGTTTCCAATATTGCATGGGAACTTGTTCATTTTATGATTAGGGATCTTACAGCTCAGCAAGCTTCCCTGAGTGGAGTTTAGGAATTTAGAAATAGAGAAGAGGAGGGCTTTTTCAAGTCAAATATTACATTTGTTATCTTGAAGCATTAATTTACTATGTGTCCCAAGTGGATTGTGCTTTCCTGAAAGAAGGCCTGAAAGAAGTAATCATAACCTGACTCATTGAAAATGTAAAAATAAATGATGCATTTAACAGACCGATAACCTAAGCCACATGGGAGATCTCCAGCCGGCCTCAGATCTTCTTTCTATACCAGAGTTCCCTTTATAACACTTGGGTCTGGACAGAGCTGACATTGTTGATAGTAGTATCGCATTCATCGGCAGCTCTGGTCAGCTCTACCTCCAGAACATGTCCCAGATCCAGCCACTCTGCACGATGTCCCCTGCTACCACCCTTGGTTCACGTCATTGTGGTCTCTCCTGTGGACTCTTGCAGTGATTTCTCCACAGGTTCCCCTGCTTCTGCCTTTTCTTTCCCAGCATCTGTTCTTCACACTAGGTGTGGCCCACGTTCCCCTCACAGTTCTGATGAATTCGGAGTCCTTCGAGGGCCCGTGTGATCCTGCCTCCAGCTCTCCATCTGACTTACCTCCCACCACACCCCTTCTTTCCTGCACTCCCATTCAGTCTCCTTGCTTCAGGTTTTTTCCCTCTTTGTACGAGGCTCTTCCGAGATTTCTGCATCTTCACTCCCTCCATCTCTCATCGGTTGTCACCCCAACGAGAGGCCTTCCCCAATGGCCCTATTAGAAGCTTATCCTATCCTGCTTTACTTTTCTTCTTTTCACTGCCCTGTGCTATGCTTTATCTGTAGTTGTTCATTGTCTTTCTTTCCCAACTAGAACGAGGTCAGCAAGTATTTTGTGTATGGGGCCGGCTACATACTTCAGGTTTGTGGACCATGCTGTCTCTGCGTGACTGCTCCTTTCTGCTCTTTTAGCCTGATAGCAGCTGCAGACGATGTGTATCAATAGGCAGGTTATATCAACTTATTTATGGACACTGAAATTTGAATATCATATAATTCTCATGTTTCATGAAATACTATCCTTTTGATTTTTTTCTCCTACCACTTAAAAATTAAAAAAAAAACAAACATTCTTAGCTCACGAGCTAAACAAAAACAGGTAGTGGACTGGGTTTGGCCTGCAAGCTGTGATTTGCCAATCCCTCTCCAAAACATCAGTTCCAGAAAGGCAAAGATTTTGTTGCTGTTCTTGTGGAGTCTCTAGGACCTAGTGGGGTGCCTGGCTCATGTTAGTATTTGTTGATATTTGGTGGAGGCATGTTGTTGAACGTGTTCGGGATATATACCATTGGGTTGTGGGGAACTTTTTATACTTGTAGTACCTGTAAATCATCATGGTGGACTATGGCAACTGAAAGAAAAGAAGTACCATATTGTATTAAAAACATTTCTTGTCCTATGTGCTTCAATATTTGTGCTTAATGTTGGTTCTTCCCGAGGTGGTTATTACAACTTTCTAGGGAACTGCCCTGAAATAAATTTCTCATGTGGTGCTTTTGGCAGGATGTGGCCTTGTTTGAGATGAATCAATCCGATTCAAAAGAGGACAGTTCAGAAGAGAGTTCGCAAGACAGCTCGGAGGACAGCTCAGAATCTGAGGGGGAAGAAGACGGCACGTCTTCTGAAGTCACCATAGATAACATTAAGCTTCCTCATTCGGAAGGTGGAAAAGGCAAGATCGAGGTCTTGGACAGTCCTGCCACTAAAAAAAAGAAGTAGTAAATGATCTCAGAAACAGGTGATACATGCCTGCTAGTTCTGCAGAAAATGAATATGGCTTGCTGGTGGTTTTGCACTTCAGGTATCTGTGGTGCTTTTATGTATTATTAGATGCATTTTGTTTCTCAGAGAAACAAAAGCGACCTTTTAAAGAGCTGGAATAGGTCACATTTGGGGATCTAAGAGCAGACTGTCTTTGATCTCATGCTGAAGAGATTTCACTTAGAAAGCTTAACTTTTTACGTATGGTGCCGAGTGAATTTGTTGGCATCTTTTTTCTTCCTCATAGACTTGAGAAATAGCAAACTTATTTTAAAGTAAAAATACAGATCATTTGTTTTAAATTTATTCTCTTGAATAAAACAATCCGGGTTTTTTTAGGTCATTATAAAGTCAAATTTATTTGTTAGCATCACAGTGGGTTCAATGGGGGAGAATTTTTTTAAGAGAAAGAAATTTTTTATAAAGAAAAGAATTACTTATATTCAGCTGTCCTCAGGCATATCTACTTTCATTAAAAAAAAAAGTCCTTTCCAGCGTGAGCTGGAAATCTGGCGCGCTCTGGTTTCATCACTGCTGGGGACTCTGCAGCCACTCTGCATATAGAATTTACTGGTTGGAAAATTCATGGTTTTTTTGTTTTTGTTTTTCCTTTTTTTTTCCAGAAGGCAGATTTCTTTGTTTCAGCTATTAAAACTATTCTACACTGTTGCCCACAGTTTAAAACCTATCACATGTAGAAAATGAGGGACATCACAGAAAAAATAGGGTGTGGTACAAAAAGAGTGTAACCACTGGTTTTCCCTTTCAAAGGTCAAAATGATCCTATGCTCGAGTCGCCTTTTTGACTCATTCTTGACCTTATTAAATTTGTTTCAGATCTCATCTGCCAAGGGACTGGCTTTGCTCAGGATATAGGCCTGAGAATTTAAAAGATCATCTCCAAGTGGGTTGAGCTGACGGAATTTGTCCCTTAATGTTTTAGGGCTCTCTTTTAACTCTTTTTTCCCACTCCTCACATTAGCTCAAGACATCTTATAAATACACTGAAGATACTCCTCAAGGTTCTTTCTGGTATTTCCCATTGGGAATTGGAACCAGCTCTTCTGGGCTGTGCTTCACTAAATGTACGAGGAAACGAACAGATCTTGAAGTGAGACTCCTCAGCTGAAACGCTTATTGTGCTATGTTTAGTAGCACCAAACGTAACTGTGATGAATTATCGGTGTAGATAGTTAAAGGTCGCCTCCTACCAGCCAATCTTTTGCTACACTGGGGGAAGAGTTGCATTTGTCTGGTTCACTACTTAGCATGGCGGATAGTACTGAGTAGGCACTGGATAATGTTATTAAACGACTTAATGGCTATATGAGTGTATAATAGGAAATGTCAAGCCATGGTAGGCTGCTCCAGGCAGGGGATATGAAGGTGTAACTTCACAGGAAATACACATCCCAGTGGAAATACGCCAAGTGATCAGCGAGAGGCCAGTCTAGAAATACATACTAGTGTGTAGAATTTTAATAGTTCCCTCCTGCCATGGCTATCTCGTGTACTACAGCAAGCCTCCCTGTAGAGTAAAGGAAGTCAACTAAATTCAGGTCTTCTGGACATTCTTAGGACATGCTAGAAAAAAGAAAAACATGAAAATTTAATTTAGGATAAGGATGTCATTTTTAAGTAAGTGTAAAATGGATGAATTATTTAGTGTACAATGTCCGAACTGGCTATTTCAAACAAGGTTAGATCTTAGCCTCATACCATGTGCTAAGATAAATTTTGTGTGGATTAAAGATTGAAATATAAAGAAATAAAATTATAAGCATTTCATTCTAAAATATGGGTGAACATCTAATAGTGAAATTGGGAAAAAGTTTTTTTTTTCTTTTTTCAGGAGGCAGGAGTCAAAAGTTTTTTTTGTTTTTTTTTAAGCAGAATGGCAAAGTCTGAAATCACAAAGGAAAAGAGCAGAAAACTCATCTGCATAAACATTAAAAACTAGTGCATAGTTTTATGAAAAGAAATTTTAAAGGCAAGGGACAAATTGGGAAAAATATTTGCAACAGAAGACTGAGTGTCAATATATAAAGGGCTCTTACAAATTAGAAAAAAAACTAGTATCTTAATAACGAATAGGCCATAGACATAAAGAATTCACAGGAAAAAAAATGTTTAACCTCATGTATCAAAAAAAAAAAACCACACTGCAGATGAAACCAAGATTGTGTTCTTGACTCAGCAAATTGGCAGATGAAACCATAGCCCGTACTTACTGAGCCCTTCCTGTGTCACCCACTATGTAAGTGTCTCACATTTGAGTTATCACCACTCAGTCATATATACAGATTTATTGAGTTGCACATTTTACATTTGTGCACTTTGCTGTAGGCATGTTATACCTTAATTAGAAAGCTGTTTTGTTTGTCAGCAGTTGGCCCTTCAGGCTGCTGGAAAGTGAATCACCATTGTCCTTTGGTTAGTCTGACCCTTGCTTTCTCTGCCTGGTGTTGGGGTGTGAGACCTGGCAGCCCCTTGGTCAGCGGTTCTATTCCTGCTAAGACCATGCTCATGGGGGTCCCATCCTTTTGTGGCTCTGTGACAGTTATAAATCCAAAAATGTGGCGTTATGGTGTTTGAAGCAAAAATTTCATTCTGAGTGAGTCTCCTGTCCATTCCCACAATATTTTAATTGTGCATTAAATACGGTACTTATAAAAAAAAACCAAAAAACAAACACCTGCCTTACAAAGTAGCTTGTATTATTGTACCTGTATCCCCTAGTCTGGTAGGAAAGGCAAGGGGAGAGGCCGAGTCTTATTTTCGCTTGTATTTCCCTCAGTGCCTAGCAGACGGCCTTTCACTTGGTTGAAATGTACAATAAATGTTCATGAAACTACTCTTTTTCTCTTTATGTCAGTAAAGTAATTCATTTTAAACGTCATTGGTTCTCGATCCAATATAAACAAGATGGGGTGATTATGATTGGTAGACTTATCCAAAAAGCCGAATGCTGGGATCTTTGTGGTTGACTCCCCACCCCCCCACCCAGTCATGGGAAACCCCTGCCAGTGATTGGAGTGGGAATGAGCACATGACACGGACTTTCCCAGTGAGGCATAAGCAAAGTCTCGTCAGTAGACTCTGGGAAAGGAAAGGATTTTTCATCCCTAAAAGGGAGGCACATCAAGAGGTGGTTCCTTTCTTCTTTTAGAAGAAAGGGTTAAATATTTTGTGACTTGATAGGATTCCCAGGAGTCCTGTCTAGTGGCCATAAATGGAGCCAACTCTTGAGTCTGCACCTCAAGGGACAGCAAAGTAAAGCAGGGGGCACCATGAAGTCACTGCATTAAATAACTCTGCAGATGGAATCACTAGACTTTGTTTTGTGACACAGTAAGTGTCCTAATTGCTTAAAAAAACAAAAAAAGCCACCACCTTATGAGATAATTCTGCTTATATCCACTTCACAGATGAGCTGCTAAGTACCTTTCCTAAGGCCTCACAATAGTAAGTGGTGGAGCCTGGTGTCGCTGAGCCGGCCACCCCCAGCCACTGTGGGCCCCCCACTTGCTCTGCCAGCAGCACAGACCCCAAAGCTGTCTGGACCAGACCTCGGCCTGGCCACCTATCTCCATTTCCCCACCTGCAAAATGGGGGTAACAGTCTCCCTCGTGGGGTTTTGGTAAGAAATGAATGAGTTGAAACACAGCACGTGGTTAGAACAGTGCTCAGTAAATGTGAGGTATTATGATGCTATAGGAATAATGCCCCGTGGTGGCAAGAATTTGGGGGGAAACTTAGATTATAGGTTCTAGGAATTTATCCTAGTTTACAGCTTTGTTCACAGATTTCTGTGTAAGATTTATTGCAAAGTTTAAAAAAGAGCAAAAACCAGCTATGTCTGGCATATGTGTAAATGTACACCAATAGAGAACAAGTTAAAGCCACTGAACATATGAAGAAGTATGTTTATTGACACAGAAGGATGCTTGTATATTGTTAACTGCAAAAAGCAGGTAACAAAGTTACATACAGTATTCTAGTAATTCTGTAAAATATATATTCATAGGGAAAGTCTGGAACAATCTCAAATGTCTGTGGTTCTTTCTGTGTGCAGAGTTTATAGGTGAATCTTACCTTCCGATTTTATGTATTTTTACGTAAATAGGTATTATTGATTTATTTTAAAAATCCACTTGGGTATCATTTGCATAACAGTGATGGTAATCACCCCATCCACACGTGTCTCCTTTCTGAGAATCTCCTCCAATCCAGGTTTCCCTCTACAGCTCTTACTTTTCTGGAGGGCAGGTATGGGGGAACCAGTCTGGCTTCTCACCCTGTCGCTAGCCACTTGCACGACCGCTCTTGGAGACAGTGACAGATGTTCAGTGTGTTCTGTTCACCACCCGGGCCCTGATTTAGGCATCGGCAGTACAAGCCATCCAGCTTGGTTAAGACCACCAGCTTCTCTACCAAGTGTGCCTCTTCTGCCACTTGACAGCTGTGTGATTTGGGCAGGTTACTTAACCGCTTTCATTTGAAAGCAAATATTGAACTCCTTGTACATACTAGGCATTGCAGATGCAGCACTGAACAAAGAAGCACCTGTCCATGAAGTTTACATTCTCATGGGGAGAGACTGACAATAAATAAATATGCCAGCTTGTGATAAATGCTATGAAAATAATGCAGGATAAGAAGAATAAATAATGACAGGGCAGATGAGGTATGAATGCGGGGACTAGAAAATCTGTCTCTACTGAGACGAGATTGGAGGTGAGACATGAGGAGGTGAGGCAGCCAGCCAGGAGGTCGTATGTAGGGAAAGAGGTGCAGGCAGAGGCAAAGCTGTGCTGGCACTGACTTGTGCGTGTTCTGACTGCACGCAGCTCTCTAGTTTGCAGTCAGCCCTCAGGAGAGCATTTATACACAGTAGTTAGCAATCGTTTCCCCCAGAGAACCATTTGGTAAATACTTACCAGCACGCCACTGGGAAGAGGAACAGTAAGTGCAAAGGCCCTGAGGTTAAGAGTTTGCTCGTCTGTT